TCCGTGTTTGTCTGCACACTTAAAACCCACTCTTGAGCCAAGAGGTCCCAAACTGTCAACAACAAGCTGTTTGCCAAAAGCCAGGGATGAGGTCAGACATCACTGGGAGCTGAGCCTTGTTGCACCACTCTGGATTTTGCCCTGCAAACCTGATTAAATCCATCGTTTTTGCTCCCAGAGTCTTTGACTATTTCTCCACACTAAATGGGAGAATGTTGGGATGGCTGTCACGTTTGTGGGTTGTTTTTTCCCTCCTATCAGTATCGAAGTTACAGGATGAGCGAGTGGTGCTTTGCTTATTGAATTATTTAACGATTCCTCTTGCATTTCTGCCTTTGCTTCAGAAAGCCTTTGTGTGTAGCACGTTACCTTGGCTGACAGCTGGTGCTTGATGTGTTATGAGAAATTGGGAAAAGAATCTTATTTATTTGCTAAACAAGAAAATTATTAGGATTACTGACCACCGACGTGTGTATTTCTTACACTACAGTTTGTTTTTAAGTAGAAATCCAAACCTTTTCTTCCTTTCCCACCTTTTCTTGATGCCGGTGGCAACTGCACGGCTAAAGATGAGTGCAAGGAATAGAGATGAGCCGTCGTAATTCTCCCCTGGGTTGCACAGCTGTGGATCCAGGAGAAGCTCCATTAAACTGAGCAGGGTACACCCATGTAATCGAGAGCTGAATTGAATCAGGCAGGTGACATCTAGAGCTGATGATCTGTGTTTTTAGTAGAGCACAGACACCATACTGCCCAAAGGATTCAAGCAGCGGTTGGAAGTCTGCACCGGAATAATATGCTGCAACACACCCATACGTTTAGATTTCAGCCTGCTCTCCAAATGACATTGAAATTTGGAGCTGGGGGAATGCGTATGTTTGCACTCATGTCTGGGTGCACTAAGGACTTTCTTCTTCAAAGATGAGCTGTAAAGTAAAGGACTCAGCTGGGATTTTGCTCTCCAAAGACCTGGGTATGTGATTGTGCCTGTTTCTAAAAAAAAACCCAAATCAACAAACAAACAAAAAAAAACAGTCAAAACTGCGTAAACAGGTTATTTTACAGCAATTGTCGGAGATATGGCCCTCAAATCACATTTGGCCCACACGGTGCATTGACAGTCATTCTGCAGGGTATAGTCTTTCCTATTTTAGAAAAGTAAGTGTCAAGATGCAGGAGTGGTGCACTGCTGACCTAAGTCCACAAACAGACTCTGACAACCAGATATTCAGCATTTACCTGAATATCAGCCTTTAGGATCCCTCTCATTGTGGGTAGGAGCCACCTTAGCTTGCTTTGGACACCTGTACTGTAGATTTCTACCTTCAAACTGTCCTCTTCATACGCCCCTTTAGGTGAGTGTGTGACTGAGCTAGTTTAAATACCTGCTTTTCGCAGAAGTGGCCGTAGAAGTGTCTCTTTCTTTCCCTTAAATATAGAATAGAATAGAGTATTTCAGCTGGAAGGTACCTGCAGTGATCACCTAGCAAAGATTTGGATGTCTTGCTCAGAGGTGGACATGTTCTCTGGGTTAGTTGAGTCCCACCTGACCTGTTTCACTAAATAACTCAGCTTTTCAGTGATACCTGCAAAAAAAAAAAACAGCTCCAGAACAACTCCCCAGCCCTGGCAGTATCTGGTGTGTTTTCTGTGGATTTGAAAAACTGGCTGGGGCCAAGAAACCCAAGCTTTCATTAAATTAGGTGGTTCACCTGCTGTGACAGTGGTTCCTACAGGCGGTATTTCCCTTTTTTCTCCAGCAGTGAGGTCCGCACCACCATGGTAGCACTTAATTGGAGCTCAGGTCTCATCAGCAGCATAAACCTATTGCCTGGGTCACATCAGTTCCTTAGGATAAGCATTTGCCCCTTACGCATGTACACAAAGTGTGTCACAGCAGGACCTTGACCACAGCTGCGCCTGCTGCTGCAGAAGCGTTGTAAATCATCAGATCAGGGTCCAACATGGCCCTTTGGGCTCATACTTCTATCTCTGCAGTGAAGAGTCTAATGTTACCCCGGGGAGCTGTAATCTAAACCGGATGGTATTGCTGACGGGCTGCCAGCCAGCTGAAGGTTTGTTTTCCTCCATCATGTCCCTCCCCTTATTGTCCTAAGTGTGTTTATTTGTTTCCCACATAAGGCACAGCACGTTCCCTTAGAAAAAGCATGCCGATAGGAGGCTTAATGCTGTTGCTCTGCCCCTTGATGCGTACAGCAGGGAGGCTGATTTCCAAGCCGGGGCATCCCTTCGGAGAGATGGGATTTCCCGTTTCCAGGAGGCAGCATGCTCGGGCCATTCAGGCAGCCAGCCCTGCAAAGGCCAAGTGCCTCTGGCTGTCACACGTGACTCCGTCTAACGAGTCCCCAGAAAATCTCCTGCTAGCAGAGGGGCAGTGCAGAAAATACGCAATGGAAATGTGTGAAATTACAGACCTTCAGCAGCCCCGGTGTCAGGGAAAAAATAAGCACGCTCATGTAATAGGACTGCAGAGACTGGATTCAGCCCTCTGGGCTTCCATCTCTACTTTGCCCCAAGGATAACCCAGGGCAAATCATTCCACTCCTCTGCTCCTCTGTTTACCCTTCGGCAGCACACGGAGGTACCCAGAAATATGGCACGGAGTGTAGCTGAGCAGCGATCGTGATGCCTGCTCCACTGCAAAGTGAGATAAATACGCCGGCTGCTCTTTCTCCGATCTGCTGCTCCCACACTGCTCCAGTTACAGCGGCTCAGCAGTGAGGAAGGGTGTGCTGGTGAGCAAAGAGCACCTGTAGGACCCAGCTCAAACCCAAAGAGACCATCCTATGTGTCGCTGTATATACATTTATTCAGACCTTCCTCTCGTTGGTTATTAGCTTTGATGGGACATCTATCTTGTACTTTCTAGGCAAGCAAAAATGCAGTCACTTACAGCACTGTGTGCTCAGGTCATGCTCGAGGTAGACATCTCCTATGCGATTGCTCCATTCAGTCTATGTCTATTTCTCCTTGCGTTACTGTTGCATCTCATGTACATTTTTGCTGGCTCCTTTGGTAGACATCCATCTCATTAATCCCTCACCTGGCTTTTTATCCATGAGACTCAACCTCTTCCTTACTTCACCTGCACAGCTACAAGAATTAGACACCTTATTGTTTCAGGGCTTTGTGATATAGCTTAAGCCTACAAAGTTATCTGCCCTTTGGGCGAGGGTTGCCCCACTGTTGTCACTGCAGTTCACTGATGAGCAGAAGTGGCTCAGTTTGAGCATGTCCCATCAAGGGGACCTATAAAATCTTTGTTCTTCTAGATAACTTTCCACCAAGAATATGTCCTCTGTATCATAGAGAAATGGATTCAGAACCCTGTGGAATCAAGGCATGAGTAGAGTTTTGCATTGAAATAGAACGCTCTTTTTAGAGGCTTTTAGAGGCTAGATTTAGAAACTTAGAAGGCTTCAGGGAGATCTTATAGCAGTCTTCCACTACCTAAAGGGGACCTACAAGAAAGCTGGAGAGGCACTTCTTACAAGGGCATGTAGTGATAGGACAAGGGGCAATGGCTTTAGATGGAAAGAGGGGAGATTTCAATTAGATATAAGGAAGAAATTTTTTACAAGGAGAGTGGTGAGGCACTGGAACAGGTTGCCCAGAGAAGTTGTGGCTGCCCCATCCCTGGAAGTGTTCAAGGCCAGGTTGGATGAGGCTTTGAGCAACCTGGTCTAGTAGAAGATGTCCCTGCCCATGGCTGGGGGGTTAGAACGAGATGATCTTTAAGGTCTTTTCCAACCTGAACCATTCTATGATTCTCTGAAAATAGTGATAGATGAGAATGGCATGGAAAGCTTAGCAGCTGCACTGCTATCTAGTCATGCATTGCTCTAGTGTAGAAATGGTACCAAGTGAGATTCAAAATTTCCATGGAAGAGACTGGGACCCAGCTAGAGTGGCCTTAAATTCTCTAAATGAGCAGAAAATCCTTTCCTAGATGAAAACGAGAAATCTCAACTATATCTAAGATAGGACAAGCAAAAGTAAATCTGGAGTGACTGTAAAATGCCTTGTGCTCTTCTGGTTACCCCAGGAGTCCTGATTAGCCCTTACAAGAACAGTCCTCCCTACATAGAAGAAGAGATTGCAGAATTGGGTCTGTAGAGCAGTCAGTGTGACCTCATTATCTCCATGGTCCTCATGTTCAGCACATTTTCGTCCATAGCCCAGGCGCTCCTCTCATCTATAGGCACAGAGACTGTGCTGCTCAGAACACCTTCCACTCAATTATTTAAAATTCAGTTGCTATGGATCTACTCAAGGCGATCAGTTTAAAGAAAATGCAGATGGCCTCTGGTTTTGAGTTCCCGCCGCGCTTTGGTTAATTTGGTATGTGAAGGTATTAGGTTAATTAAATGCCATGTGTTGCACGGGGACTCGGCTGCATTTGTGGATTAATAAGTACCCGAGTGTGTTCTGTGCTGAAAGTCCTCAAGCTGGCAGATGGTTATTTCACTAAGAAAGGAAGGTAACGGAGAGAAGACACAGAGACATGAAGAAGTTTCCTGTTAATCCTGCAGTCGTTTTTCCAGAACGGGTGGTTGCAGTGTCCTTCAGGTCTCTGCCCAAGTATCACCCCTTACTGGAGAGACTTGAAGAGTTCAAGTGAAGAGAAGCAAAGTTGTTGAGTTCTCCTTGAGGCTGCTGCAGCACCAGTTCTATGGGGCACACGTGCTAGCTGGCCAGTGGAGGACCATGGCTGGGGCATGGAAATTTTTCTGCTAGGAGAAGATCTTTACCAAGAGTCATATTGTGAATCTGGTCAGAGGGTGTCCTGCAAGGAGTAGGCATGGTCACACTGGAGGTCTGAAGCAAACCGGCCACAGTTTTCTGGCATTCATGGTGGAATACATGTTCAAAGCAGAGAGAGGGGCAAATACCAATACTGCAAGGTTTTGGAGATGTTGAAGAGGAAGAAAGTTGTTTTCATGCAGCCATGCCCTGAGGTGGTGGAAGATCAGGAGAGAGACCAGGGCAAATGGACGCTACTCCGCAACGTCAACCAGGCCCTGAAGCCCACAACCATTCTAGCGGTAAGACAGGGGGTCCCAAGCTCTGAGCATGGCTGGCAGCTTTCAGCCTACTTTGAAATCGGTGTCTCTGTTTGATGGGATCCTCATACTGCTCGTGCCAGCTTCTCCCACCTTCCTTCTGAGTCTTTGTTCCCCCCAAGCACTGCAGCTCCCCGGTGGTGCAGCCTTCTTGCTCTTTGCATTTGAAAGCTCCTACTAAAGACCCTCTACATGAATTGTGTTGATCTGTGTGTGCACCCATCGTGGTGTTTCCTCCTCTTGCACCGCTGTTTAGTTGTCACTGCCCATAGCTTGTGAAGTCCCAAGAATCTGCCCCAGAGAGTTTGGAAGGACACTAGCACCTCTCAGCTGAGTTGAGGAGGAAGAGTTGGACCGTGTTGATGCTGTAAAATGACTGGTGGTATTCTCACTTCTCCAGTACTCTGTCGTGTGTGTTGGAAAATACACTGCATCAGTCCAAGCATGAGGTGGGTTATGCAACTTATAAGCCAGTCTGCCCAAGCTGGTAAATGCATGAATCACCCCGATTTGCCCTGAAATCTCCAATATATCTGCCGTTTTATGGGCTGATCCAAAGGTGATTGCATCAGCGGAAAGAGTGTAACGAACTTCCATGGGGTTTATATCAAATTCATTAAAGTCAGGGAAGGAAATAGGTCAGCACTCTTAGTAAGTGATGTTATTTTTTAACCCCCCAGACCTTTCTGAGCTTACCAGCTTAGCCCATCCCATAAGACTTGCTTTTTTTTTCACCAGTATTAAGAACTGCATTTCTTTAATGTGTTTAGAAAGAGCATTTTGAGGGGACGAGCACTCCGTGCATTAGGCAGGCAAAGTGCAGGAGTTGTCTTAGTGGTGGGAGAGCATCAATTTACCTTGGGAAGAGCAGACTGCCTTTTTATCTCAGCTGTGTGGTAACAGAACATACGAAACAGGCTGCTTTTACAGCCATTCAGAATTAGAGATTTTAAAAATAACAGCGTTTCAATTCTTGTTTTGTTGATTGAGAGCAAGTTTTACGCAGCTGCTGAGGTGTCAGAAGGGCTTTCTGCAGAGCAGGGACTGAGCAACCTGGCTCTTCTCTTGCTGACACCTTGATCAAGTTACCCACCCCGTGCATGAATTTGCTCAGCTCTGCAGGGAGGATAACAGTGTTGAACACCTGAAATGCTTTGAGTGTCTTGGATCAAAGGAACTGAGGAATAAATATTAATATAAGTGGATCTGTAGTGCATCTGTGTATGACTTACTGCATTCATTAGGTTTTTGGGTTGTTCTTTTCTTGCTTTTTAACTGAGTTATGGGATGTGAGAGTAAGACAGTTAATGAGAAAAAGATCTGAATATTATATTTTTTATGAGCTGTGTAAAGATACTTCGAAGAGTGCTGTAGCATAACCCTCTGAGGAAAAAACAAAACAAAACAAAACAAAGGGCTGGATCCTCAGCTCCATGTAAGCAGGATGACTACAAGAAAGCTGGAGAGGGACTTTTTACAAGGGTGGTGAAACACTGGAACAGATTGCCCAGAGGAGTTGTGGATGACCCATCCCTGGAGGTGTTCAAGGCCAGGTTGGATGAGGCTTTGAGCAACCTGGTGTAGTCAACCCAAACCTATAAATACTCTGTCCACAGAAATGGTCGATAGTGGATGCTCAGGAAATGGTTATATCAGAGCACATGCAAAATGATCACTCCCATTTTTCACTTTCCCTTCTCCCAGCAGTATTTCAGGACTTCAAAAGGTAGATATTACATTTGCATCATGCTTAATAGGTACCAGTGGAGCTGGCCCCAGGAATGTGGCATTAGGTGGGGTTAAAAGTTCACAATATTAAACTCAAATGCATGAAAAAGTACATGTGCTTGCTTGATGAAAACATGCCTGAAAATACTTTAACTGGGCAGCTCCCACCTGTCTCTTCAACTTGAGGTTAAGGGTGGGAAATAAGTCTGACATTTCAAAAAGTGTGGGTCCTGCTTGGAAGTTTGGTTTTGGGTTATTTTGGGGTTTGCTTTTGTATCGGGGAAAATAGCTTCTTTAAAAGCCTTTTTGCTTTTTCGAGTAATTTAATATCCACAGAGCTGATAAGCAGATAGTCCCTGCCCAGCAGGACTGAGAGGTCTGTAGGATCACCAGTGTCATGGAGCGAGTGGATAGGGGTCAACTGCTTGCTGTGTCTTCCAAAACGAAAACAAAGAGGGCTCAAATGAAAGAGGTGACACAGCTGAAGCGTGCAGAAGGACACAGCTTTCCACACGGTTTGTAGCTAAACTCTTCCTTTGAGATTATGGATGCTGAAACTTTGCACAGCTTCGGGGTGCAACTGAGAAGGCTCACAGTAGATAAAATCGACTGAGAAGTATTAAATGCAAAGAATCCACCTACAGATCATTGTAGCTGGGAGATCTCCAGAAGAAGTATATATATATATCTACCTCTCTGGTAGGTTCTTGACCCTTCTTTAGTCATCCTCTTTTCACCAATCTCCAAGATAGGAGAATGTATATTTGATAGTGGTTATCTGCAAAGAAAAAATGTACCACAAGCCTCCAGACAAGGCTTTCCAGAGCTTGAAACGATCTCCTAAGTGTGACTTTTTAGGCTTTTACATTGCATAGAGGAAAGATCTACCTCGGTGGATCTTTCTGTGTGTATCTCTGCTCTGTAACCTGCTTGCTGGATGCAGTCTGTGACAAACAACCACTCACAAGCTCATGGAATGGAGAGATAGTGCAGTGGGTGTATCCTGTGTGGAGCATGTCCTACTGCTATTACCTTGCAGGGGATTTCCTGAGCATCGGTGAAAAAGGGGTGGTTTGTGGTTTGCAAAGGAGATCGTTTGACTTGAACCAACGATTTGGGTGCAAAATATCAGCAACTTGTATCCCAAGTGACGATGAACTTTCTGCAGCCCCAAGTGTAAATGCCTTCTCTTTGATTCCAGGGGGATTATGTGTGGATGGACCTCAAAACCGGACGGGAATTCGACGTCCCCATTGGAGCGGTGGTTAAACTGTGTGACTCTGGACAGATCCAGGTTGTGGATGATGAAGGCAATGTACGTACAAAAGGTTGTGATGATCCTTCTTCAGCTCTATGGGCCTGGTTAGGCCAAGGGTCGTAGGATCATGACTGACTTTGTCACAGGCTTCTTATATGTCCTTGGGAATCAACTGTGCCACAGTTTTCTATTTGTAAGGACAAGATAATATTGTGTCCCCACTTTTGTGGCAGTACTGGGAGTGAAAGGGTGAGAAGCTTCTTGAGCACAATGATAACACATCTCCTACCAATACAAAATGTGCCCAAACACTGGTTCTCCTTCAATTTCCCACCTCTACTTCTGTGCAGTGGTGGCTATTTTAGAGGAACATCTATTATCGCAAGCAGAGGGTGGCCAGAGGAGGTTCTCTGTCCTTTTCAAATATTTTTTCCTTCAAGGATTGAAGAAAGAGATTTGGTTCAGC